TTATCTTTTGAATTAAATGAGACAATTTCATTTTTGTCCTATATATATACATACATATTTATGAGTTATTATTTGTGACCGTGTCACCTGTCTGGAAATGAATCATGTTGTTTATGCTAATTTATGTATTATCACACATGTGGGTGAGAGAGATTAATGGGAAAATTATGCAGTACGATTGACTTGTTAATCTTGTCCATGTCTACATATGTTGTAGAGTTGACAATTAATATCAATTTGGTATGTGGTGTATTATAAATGGATGTCAATTATTTATCAAAGTGTTGATAAAAATGTGAACCTATGTGTTTTGACATAAGAGAAATTCTAATTATTCTTTGGAATAATGACTAAAATTGGTGTGGTGACTGATCTGTAATAAAATATTATATGAATTAAAATATTTCATGGGTAAAAGACACTTTGGTCATTGTCGACGTAGTCACCAATACTGGATAAGACAAACAAGATGTAAATGTATTTATACAGTGATATTTATATTCTTTGTTGAGATTGGAATTAAGGGTTGCAGTAAACAAAAAGAAATTAATCATGGCTAAAGAAATGTTATTTGACAAAGTGTTGTGGCCACAACCGGTATTAGTCATTTCTTCTTTGTATTGTAAAAGTAAGTTATGAAGTCTAATTGTATTTTAGACAAATTAGTATTGTGATTATATTCACAAAGCAATTTACATCTTGTTATTTAGTTCAAGCACGCCAATTAATGATATATTCTGATTTATCTCAGAATTGTGGGGGTGTATTTATTATACACCAGTAAGAGAAATTAAGTTTCCTCGGAATACTTAAAATGTGGGGGTGCTTGGAGGATTTTACCAAAGTAACGGTTCCGATTGTAGGTCCACAAAGAATCTCAATTCTTTCTATAGGACAAAGTTGGAGTAGAAGCAAAAATGGTTTCATTAACTCCTAAGGAACAACTCTATGTTTATTATTTAAATTTGAAAATGGGAGTGACATAGAGTAACGGTAAATCTCGATGTAATCAAAAGACTTAATGCCGTAGGACATTTGCTTTCGGTTGTGAATATTGTCTAAGGATAATATAATGGATCCACTACTGATATATAATTGAGAAGGTCAAACGAAAAATAACAACTACTAAACAAAAAGTTTGACCAGAGAGCAAATGAGGGAAAGTTCATCAAGGGAAATGTGATTAAAGCCTATTACACCAGAGTCATCATAATGGTAATCTTACTTAGATGACTGGAGATCCCAAGAACTAAGTTCAAAGGGACAACTAAGTTATGTATGGCTCGCCAGAAATTACTAAAGGAGTCTATCTCCTATCCATTCTTATGATGAGAGTGATATCTGCAACATGTGTTATATGCAGGAGATTTAGGGTAAGCTATACTTTTAATGATCACTTATATCTTGAAAAACCTAAAGGGGTATTTTTCAAGAGGAGTATTTAAGAGACTTGAAATAAGGGTCACCTATATGAATGTGAAGAGGTCGCTTCTATGAGAATTGATAAGGCTAAATTTTCTAAAGCACTCATGAAACACCAGGACTTGTCCAAGGCCAAAACGGGCACAATCGTGAGAACTAAGCTAACTTTGGAGATATTATGTGTGAATTCTATTGTCTTGGCTTACATAAACGACTGAACAGTTCAAGGCATTATGTTCACTGATTAACTAGTAAGTCCGATAGACTTTCACTAGGGAAGGTTCAAAGCCGAAAGCTATCTATCACGATACAAGGTGTTTCCTTAACGTACTCTCTCTTTGTCTGCGTGTTGTTGCATGTCCTTTTTGTGAATTTCATTCATGTGGGGGATTGTTGCAAAATTTGAATTTAAATTTACTCCAATCGTTGTGTCTCTTGAGATGGAAAGGTGTGTCATTTTGAAAGATCATAACCTTTTTGAAGAGCCATATAGAAATCTATAAATTCCATCTCCCTCATTTCAATTTGGATAGAGAATTGTCATTTTCTTCTTCACTTTGCATTTATTCTTCATATTTCTTGAGTCTAATTTTCCTATAAAAAGAGTACATGCACAGCGAAGTTCGCTAGGCTTGCAATAGTAGTGCTGCTAGTGCAAGACATTGATCATTGTATCCTGGGAGATAGACGTCCATTGAATCCTAAGCACCGATGGAAGGACGAATCTGTCACGCCCCCAACTTGCCCCTAAAAGTTCGGGCATGACCCGTTCAGAAACAGACAGATAACCTGGTATATATATATCATATGGGGCCTTGACGGAAGCACAAAACATACAAGAATACAAAATTAAGCAAATCCCATTGAGCTATTTCTAACATGCCAGGATATCATACATTACATGCATCATAAGAGGTTGATAGAATTCAAAAATATTTCTTGACAGTACATATATACAAATACATAAACAGACCCAGCCCTGTAGTCGGGCATGTAACAAAAACTATTAGAGCTATACACAATCAACCTTGGAAGGGTAGCTAAGGAAAAAGCCAATTATCTTAGTAGACTTCACAAAATGGGTGGCCTTGAGAGTGCTTGGATACACGAAGGTTGTCAAAAGGAACCGGGCATCATAGGTTAGGATTGACCACCTGGTTGGTTGCCTACAGAAACAGACATAACAGAGAGTGAGCCGGGCTCAGTGAATAGTAATACATAATGAAGCAATGCTCAACTTGAAACATGACATATATCAATATATGTGTAAATGCAGAGGTTACAAAAAGGGGTAACAGATTGGCATACACCCGAATATCCAACTATGTATTTGGCTACCAAAATATTTGGTGGCCAAATATTTTCTGTTTTTTTTTTTTTTTTCCAAAAAAATTCTAAACAACCTACATCCATGTTTAATACAACCTGTACGTACATAACACAGGATTCAATATAACCCAATATAACCCATCAACGCTAAATATATTATCAAGCATTCAACAACGTGCACACATTCTAGTTCCAACCATCCAAAACATTAAAAATAAACTTCCAATTCTATATATAATACAAATTCCATACGAACCAAGTCTAATCCAACGTCAATAATTTCATTTCATACATAGTACAGGACTAACCAAATTAATTTTCAAAAAGGACATATGTACCACAACATGTCCTAACTTAAACTTGTTTGTCAGAATTTGTCTTTTACATACAAATTTTAAGAAGATTATATGAAGGCTTATAAATACTAGACTAGGCACAAGTGCAAAAAAAATAGTGAATGTTTCGATTTCTCTCAGCATTATCAAACCAAAGAATCTTTCTGAATCATGGCAGCGCAGCCATCATTATCCGTTTTGTAGCCTCACGCTTCATCTCTGCTGCTTTGCCACTGCCACGGAAGTACATGTAAACATCCTGCATAATATAAATAAAATGAAAAACTAATAAGATTAATACCAAGTGTCCATGAAAATAAAATTAAAAAAATAGCCATTCAATTCTAGGTAAAACATATTTGGAAGCTACAATTTTAATTAGTATAAACAAGTACCTGCTCCCTCCTCCTCAATTCAGCCTCCTTTGCTTGGAGTTTCTTTCTCCTTTGTTCTGAAAGCCTAGATTGCAGCAGAGGATAATGAAATTAACAAAGCCTATCTCTATGCATAAAAATAGTAAACAGGTTCAACATCCACTAAATTAGTCTGATAAAGTGAAGCTAGTTCCACTAAATTAGTTTGATAAAGTCAACTTACCCCAGTTTGAGGGGTTTAATGAATGAAGAGCATTACAACAACAACAACCCACAACAGCAGTAAGTTTTCACAACTTATGTTAGGATTTAATGACTATTTTAGGATTTTACTACCTAATGGCGTATTTTCAAGCCTAAATGTTTTCCAACTAAGAGTCCTATGATTGTTCTGTAAGTTTTCACAACTTATGTTGATTCCTCCCAAGGTGTTCATGATAATTTCCAGACCTTTTCGTGCCTATTTAACGATTTTGCCCATCGATGGCTTATTTTCATGCTTAAGTGTTGGAAATTTACAAATTTCAAAGTAGTTTTTAAATTGGAAATCTTGTGCTTGTTCTATGAGTTTTTACAATTTACATTGGTTCCTCTCGAGGTGTACATAATATTTTTCTGGGCCTTGTTGTTCATATTTCACTATTTTGTCCATCAATGGCCTATTTTCAAGCTTAAGTATTGAAAAAATTCATAATTCAAAGTAGTTTTCAAACCAGAAGTCACATGCTTGTTCCAATGGGGAGCCACGCCTATTGTCACTCAACCCTCAACAGAAACCAAAGCAATACATAAGGTAAAACCCATCAACTCACAACAAGATAAAAGGAAAACACTCTAGAGAATTTAGAGTTAAGTTCACTCAACCCTAAAAAAAAAAGCTCCCCAATATAGGTAACTTTAATATCTTAATAAAATCTACTGAGATGAAAGAGCTTTCAACACTACATGAAAAGAAAAAAAAGAAAAGCAGACAACCCAAATACATTATTATGAAGCAATATGCTTCCTTGCGACTAAAATACCCAGTTAACAACTATAGACATAAAATTATAATAGCATAAAAAGTCGAGAAAATCATGATAGATCCCAATATTAAAGTTATAATAACATTGGGCTACTAAGGGGACAGGAAAGTTAAAACAAAATTACACTGGCACACTGTCAATGAAGATTTTGAAGTACAAAAACATGAATCATCCATTATAATTTTGTAACTATTGGCATGAACGCAATGAATGATGAGAATTCACCACCCACTTTATTTTTTGATTAAAATACTATTTTTTGTCTGTTTTATTTAACAAAAATAAAAAAATAAATTAAAAGATTAAAATTAAAATTGATAAAATTAAAAATTAAAAATTTATTTTATTACAAAACTAAAACTTTGATTTTTTTTTTTTCATTGTCCCAAGAAATATTCTCCAAACTTGTTTAGAAGATGGACCAAACTTAGTTTGGGCTAGGCTTATGACATGGGCCAAGCTTGGTTTGCGTGTTCTGGAGTGTCCCTCTTGAAAGTCTGCACCACACCACCAAATTGATCTCCTCTCTCTCTCTCTCTCTCTCTCAATTTAACCATTTTTGCCGCCATTAGAAACCCAGGTTCTTCCACTGGATTCTCTCTCTCTCTCTCTCTCTGTAGAGGAAGAATGTCCTGACATTGAAAGCAATGGAAGCTGAGACAGAGAGAAGTAGAGCATCGTGGTCGTCAAAGAGAAGAAAACCATTGTCTGATAGCAGCAACCTCGTGATCCCCACCTCCACCATTCTTCGCAAGCTCTCTTCCTCCCTCTCCGCCAAACCCCCATTCCCGAATCCCAATTCGAAACCCCACGTTTCATCTTCTGCAACCAAACCTGACACCAAATCCCACACCAGCAGCATCGGATCATCTAATTTCAAAGAAAATGCTCCAAACCCTACCAACATCCCACAGCCTCCTGCCTCTCCTCCTCTTCTTTCCATTACCAATTCCGGTAATCTCTCTCTCTCTCTCTCTCTATATATATATATATATATATAAATTTCAATTGTTCTGTGCTAGTAGTGTAACAACATGATCACTGGCTTTAATAGTACTTCAATTTGTTCCATATTTTGGTATCGCGATGATTTTCTTCTATCAGTTTTGGACTGTATGATTTGAATGTTCCTCCAGTTTTGTGTTCGATCATTTATTTCTGATTGTTATTGGATGTCTAAATGTATATCAGTGGTCAGTGGTCATTTGGATTGTTAGGAAGTTGGGTTTAATACTAAAAACTGTCAATCGTTGAATTATAGAGATGTAGATATATATTTTAGGGTTCGTTTGTGTAGATGTGGATTTCAAATTGTTAGAATTAATGTATTAATGTATAGAGAGAGAGAATAATGTATCTATTGATGTATAGAATGTTATGGGTTAGCTCCTTTATATAGAGGAGTTACAAGCTTACAAGCCAAAAGAGAAACCAGAATTATTAAAGCATACTAATTATTATACTAACATAATTATTAAAGCAGCACTTTACATATTATATTCTAACAGCCCCGTCAAACTTAAGGAGGATAGGAACCAACTTGAGTTTGGAGAGAGTAATAAAACAGGAAAATAAAATATAAATAAAATAAAATAGGATAGGAGACACTGTATGGTCGTGTCAGATCGTTGGTGAAGACACTGTATGGTCGTGTCGGACCGTTGGTGAAAACACTGTGTGATCGTGTCGGACCGTTGTAGGAACTAACCGGAATTAATGTCGGAACAGTTTACGGGGTCATGCCGGACCGATGTAGCAGACACTGTGTGGTCGTGTCAGACCGTTGTAGGAGCTAACTGGAATCAATGTCGGGACAGTTTACGAGGTCATGCTGGACCGATATAGCAGACACTGTATGGTCATGTTAGACTGTTGTAGGAGCTAACCGGAATCAATGTTGGGACAGTTTACGGGGTCCTGTCGGACCGATATAGCAGACACTGTGTGGTCGTGTCAGGCCGTTGTAGGAGCTAACTGGAATCAATGTTGGGACAGTTTACGGGGTCATGCCAGACCGATGTAGCAGACGCTGTGTGGTTGTGTCAGACCGTTGGAGAATACGCGGTATGTTTGTGTATATAGGCTGCCCAAAAGTCATACATAAATAGATATATATATATATATATATCGCACCCTCAAAAGGCGCACCCTCAAAAGTTGCGCTCTCAAAAGAAGTGCCCAATCCATCAAAAGGCGTGCCCGACATTATGGCGTCTAGCGGCGTGCGATGTGTCGGCCTCGGCTTGCGCTTCCGGTTTGTTACATGGTCTATTTAAACGGAGTCCTATGCTGAGGCTGAGGCTGAGGCTGTGCAAAACAAAATAGGCTGAAAACCTCTTCGTTTTCTGGGAGCTTTTCTCAGAGAGCTACAAATCCTGAAAACACTCTGTAACATATGAAACACTCGGCAACCCATAACATGGCCTCTTCTTCCCGTGGTCCGCTCACCCTCTTTCCAGACCTTAACGAGTCCACAAGAGAGATAACCGATGTGGTTGCCCTTGAACCTTAACCAAGCGACCTTCTGCCGTCCTCTGTGCTCAGCTATCCAGAAATGTCAGTGGAGCAGATAATGGCAACACAATCGGACATTGAGACGAACTCGTATACATTGAAGTCATGTGTCGAGACCATGACTGCGGTCACGAACTTGTCCCATCGACTGCAGACTAGGACGTTTGAAGTGTATCAACTGTCAGCGCAACTCTCCCTGCTGCAACGGATGTATAAAGATGCTTGAGGAGAGATCAATTCACTGAAGAAGGAGAATAAGGAGCTGAAATGGCAAGCCACCTCCAAGGCCCGATTCGGAGTGTCCTCATACTCTGCATTTGACGGCCAGCGGGGAGTAATTACATTTGGAAGTGCGGCCAAGGCGGAGGCAGAATCATCAAGAGTGGCGAAGGCGAGGGACGAAGTTGGTGGCAAATGAAATTGGGGGAGGTGTCACTGGAAATAAAAAAAATGCGGTTATGGTGTTGGTGGTGGGTTTGTTTGTTTGTTTGTTTGTTTTTTTTTTTTTTTTTTTTTTTTTTTTTTTTTTTTTTTTTTTTTTTTTGTGGAGAACTGTGATCAGGGTTGATCCTCGATTGAAATAAAAAAAAGAATAAAAAAAAGGGTTGTTGTGCAAACCGGGTGGCATCAAAAATTTGTGTGTTGGTTATGAAAATTTGTGTTTGTTGGTTTGCGGTTTTTTTGTTTTGTTTTGTTTTTTTTTTTTTTTTTTTGAAATGAAAAGTGGAGCCAACATGGGTGGACAGGTGGCCCAATAAGTTTGGTGTGATGGAATAAAAAGAGACATATATATATTAGTATTGGTGGAATGGTGATGATAATGTTTTGTGGGTGGTGGAAAAAGTAAAGTGAGAGAGAAAATCTGTTTCCCGGATTGAGAGAGAGAGAGTGGGTGTAAAGTGTTTGGTGGTGTCAAATGGATGAAAAGAAAAAATAAAGAAATAAAAGAAGAAAAGTATAATGGGTTTGAAAAACTAGAGAGCATGGGGTGGGCTCGGAGAGGTTCCAGAGAAGGGATCTGCCGCCCACGGCGGAGCGGAGGGCAATGAAAAGATTGGCCCCAACCCCATTCGTAGATGTCGGTGTCCAGCAGCTGCTTATTTGAGGATGGCAGGAAGGCCTCCTGTTCTTCCCTCTAGCAACCTTTTTTATTCAGAAAACTTCTTATATATGCTAGATTCATTAGGTAATAGGTCTTATAAACCCAATCCTCGACTAGTGCCTGTGCTGGACATTCTCTTTGTACTACATGCAGAACATGAAATGAATTGCTCCACAGCTGCTGCTAGGCATCTAGCGTCAAGTGGTGTTGATGTATACACAGCTCTTGCTAGAGCAGTTGGAGCAATGTATGGTCCTCTTCATGGTGGAGCAAATGAGGCCGTGCTTAAAATGTTGGGTGAGATTGGAACTGTTGACAATATTCCAGAGTTCATTGAAGGTGTGAAAAACAGGAAGCGAAAGATGCCAGGTTTTGGGCACCGTGTCTACAAAAACTACGATCCCAGATGAAAGAAGGACCAGTACTGAGGTCATCCATGCTGCTGTGGCTGCATTGGTAGATGAGAAGGGTGAGCCGCTTACGCCGACATCGGCTTGGAGAGCTGCGGAGAGGTTGGCTAAAGTGGCTATAATGAGGAAGTCGTTGAATAGAGTGAGCGACTTGCACGGCTTCGAAAATGCGAGATTCCGACAGGTCGGCCCTTTCTGCAGAGAAGACAGAGAGAGAGGCCTTGGTCTTAGCCCATGTATGTTGGTGGAGGTGACCAAGATGGATGATGGTGATGATGCTCTGATCTTTAAGGTGAATGTTGAATTGGGTTTAGTGGCACACTACAAGAAAATACACATTTGGCGACTAAATTTTTAGTCGCCAAAAGTGATTTTTTAGTCGCCAAAAGTCGGATTTTAGGTTTTCCCGACTAAATTTTTTAGTCGCCATGTTTGTCACTGGAAAACTGTCGCGGAAGGTATGGGCGACTAACCCACTTATAGTCGCCAAAAACAAACTCTGTAGCGACTAAAATTTTTGTCGCCAAAGCTCATTTATATTTTTTAAATTATACATTTGGCGACCACCTGTTTTAGTCGCCAAAAGCATATTTAAAAAAAAAAAAATTTGAACCTGTGTTGCTCGCAGGTTTCGAACCTCAGACATCCCACCACCAAATTCCAAACCTTTTGCCAAACACTCCCTCCACTATGCCACATATATGCAATATATATTATTTATATAGTATATTAACCGCTATTAATACAAAATCATATATATAAATATAATTTTTTTAATTCAATATACTTTATGTAAAAAATAAATTATTTACTAAAAAAAAATTTAGGCCACTTTTGGCGACTAAATTAAATTTTTAGTCGCCAATTCTATCATTTTCGGCTACTAATTATAATTTAGTCGCAAAAAAATTAAGTTTCGCCTAAAAATAAGTAGTTTTGGCGACTAAACCTGTTTTTAGTCGCCAAAAACGTCCCCTTTTGGCTACTAAACTGAATTTTAGTCGGCAATGGACTGTTTTTAGCTACTAATTTTTTTTTTTGTAGCCAAAAAGCTTTACTTTCAGCGACTAAACTATTTTTAGTAGGCAAAACACCAACAATCGGCGACTAATCTGTTTTTTAGTCGCCAAAACCATCACTTTTGGCTACTAAATTATTTTAGTCACCAAAAACTGTCACACCTTTAGTCGCTAAAACCCCCACATTGGGCGACTAAACTGCCTTTTAGTCGCTAAAAGCCTTGTATTCGGCGACTAAACTCTTTTAGTCGGCAAAAGTCACCAATTTTGGCTACTAAATCCATTTTAGTGGCCATTTGTACTACTTTCAGCGACGAAAAAATTTATTTTAGTCGCGAAATCTGTATTTTCTTGTAGTGGCAGCGGAGTTCTGCTATGGAATTTGTGGAAGCTGAGTGAAGGTAGGTGTAGAGGTCCGGCGGGCGGCCAAGACGAGGCTGCCGCCCACAGGTGAAGCGAAATTATTAGGTTCTTAACCTCGCTAATGTATTAATGTATAGAGAAAGAGAATAATGTATCTATTGATGTATAGAATGTTATGAGTTAGCTCCTTTATATAGAGGAGTTACAAGCTTACAAGCCAAAAGAGAAAACAGAATTATTAAAGCATACTAATTATTATACTAACCTAATTATTAAAGCAGCACTTTACATATTATATTCTAACACAAATCATGGGTTGGGCCTTAATCATTCAAAAATAATAAACCCAAATTTAGATATAATTGTTTTTTTATGAATTTAAAATTTTGAGTTAAATAGCTTAATCTTGATGGATTTGAAATCACCATATAAAACTAGTTATTTGAAATTATGCTAAGTATTCTCTTTCTAACTATAAGGATCCTACTAAATGTATATAACGTTTATCTCAACTTATCATTGTTTTTCTATGTATTAACCTCAAATCCGTTGATATGAAATCCACAACTAATCCAAATGGACCCTTAACTTTCATTCGTTTTGTAGACAAGGAAATTTTTTTCCCCAGGGAATTAATATTTCTGGTATATTTTCTTTTACAAAGGAAATGGCAGCGAAGATGCGTTTGATCCTCTTGTAGTATACAGTCGAAGACAGACTTCACGGAAAACAAAGGATAGGGGGACGCCAGTTGCTTTGCCTTATACTATCTCTCCTCTCCAGAAAACAAAGGGCAATGTGAATGCAGATACTGTGCCTTTGACATACCCTGTTCTGAAGAAATCGAAAGATAAGGGGAAGGCAGCTGTTGTGCCTTTCACTTCCTATTTGGTGGAGAACATGAGGGATGGAAGGAAGGAAATCGCTACGCCTCATAGTTTATTCCCTCTGAGAAAAACAAAGGATAATGGGAAGGCTGTTTCAATGCCTATCAATTTCCCTTCTCTGGAGAATACAAAGAATAAAAGGAAGAAAATTGATGCGCCGTTTAGTTGCCCTCCCTTGCCGAGGACCAAGAAGATACGGTAACTCTCTCTCTCTCTCTCTCTCTCTCACACACACACACACACACACACACACACACATATGGTGCACCTTCACTAATATGATTTTCTTATTGTTGGTTTTGGTAGATTTATTGGGTACATTGGTGTTTTTGTTTTTTTGTGGATAGTGTGTTATATGGTATATTGTAACTTGTAGAGGTCTCCATTTTTGAAATTCATATTTTGAATTTTGATAAAGATTTATTTATTGTTTGACTTGAAAATATTTTCTGATGTTTAACCTTTTGTATTCAGCCAAACTTTTCAACTTGAGCTCTCTCTATCTCATCAGGTCAAATGTCATCTTTATGAGTGATTTAGCAATAATATTGAATTGTGTATGAGGAGCTTGCAAAAGTGTTACACCATTACATTGATAAATGTGTATTAGGAGAATTAGAAAAAGTTTTTCACAAAAGATAAATAGTCTCGTTTGCTGCAATGACTAATGGAAATATGGCAGGCTTATTTTCTTTCATTTTGGTACCAGGTTGTGAGTTGAAGGCTCAAGACCTGCGTAGAGTATTTCATGATTTGAAGTTCTGTGTTCAGAGCATCTCTGGATTGTTTATTTTTTTTAATAAGAATTTTCACTCTTATCTAATACCTTTTTTGTTTTCTTCCATGATGTTTTGTCAATTCTAATTTGGTTTAAGAAAATTTCTCAAAAATTGCATGAAATATTTTGACTAGTAAATTGTTGGAACTAGACACTAAATACCCTGAAAGAATAAGTCTTAGCCTCTCCCTTACTAGCTGGCAATTTGTGGGACGAAAACTTTTTGTTCTATGTTTATCTGTCTTGTTTCTTGTGTGCCTATGGGTGATTTAGATTGATTAACAATTTAAGACAAGGAATCTGTGTATGTTCTAAACAATTGTAAAAATGACTTTGATTTTGGTAGTGTCTTCCAATATGTTCCCTGCCCATGTGCCTAACCATTGTGCTGATGCTGTCTTGTATATTCCTTGTCTTCCAAATAGGAATGAATTTAATCAAGCTGGAGATATTGGTATATCCAAATCATGCACTGTTCCTCATCCAAAGTGTAAAAAGGTTTGCTACACATAGTCTAGTCTCATACATTCTTTATTTTATTTGTAATAGATGCTGTCAATTTTCTCTTTTATTTTGGTTGTTTCTGTCAAGTTTGCCGTATTATGTGGTTCCTTTCTCAGATCCTGCATTGATGGTTTTCTAGTTAGCTTTTTAATCTGCCTGCAATGTTTTTATTTACTTATTTATTTGCAGAAGAGGTGCCGCTTAATGCCAGAGCAAGATGTTTCAAAACATAATTTGCCACAAGAATTTATTGAGCAGCAGAGAGCTTATTTTAAAGAGGTTGATGAGTTTGAACTGCCAGAGGAGGAGATATCAGAAAGTGAGTTGGATGAGGCGGAGACGAGGAATACATTTCAGGATATGAAGTAGGGCCACCTAACCAATTGACTTTTTCTGTATAGTTTAGAAGAATATATTTCCCAAATTCCAGCTTCTACAAGTTATAGCAATGTAAGCCCTCCGTAATCCTTTTCCCAAATTCCGCTGTACATTTTTTTTTTCTTTTGATAAACAAACCAGAAAAAAAAAAGAGTCCATTGTTATAAACCTGAAGTACGTAAATGGATCTTTCTAAAATATAGTCATGGTTGGTTATAGCATCACACTCTACTTACTACATGTTTTGACTGCAGAAGGATTTCTTTACGATTGTGAATGAATGACATAATGACGTAGTTGTATTGACTCTGCAAATTGAACAAATTGCCATGTGCGTGTGAGTTCGTTGTAATTAGCATGCTAACGAGTATATACCTATGCGAATGGCCAGAGGGTTGACATCCAACCATTGAAGCATTTTGACTCTGCCCAGTAAATTGGAATCAACAGTCAAGATTATCAACAACGGTGGAAATTTCGTTTTAAATAATGGTGGTGGTTACTGTAATGGTAACGGTAGTGTTGATAGGCTTACAGGGTGTAACAGACGTAGTATAACGGTGGCGACAATCAGAATCGTGAATTTTTTAGTTCTTCACACAATTTTTGGAAAACATATCGATATGGATGCCTTTATTTCAAACTTACATTTAGGAGATTCAAAATGATTTTTAGTATCTTTATTTAGTTTTAAAACATGATCCAATATATATTATTTTTTATATTAGTTTTAAGTCGTTATGGAGAATTTTCTTATTGGATTTATTTAATCTTCTTTACTTTTCTAATTATACTTATGGATGGCTTTCAATTTGTTAAGAAAAAAAAATCATGTATGTTTAATATTAAAAATAATAGTCTCATAACTTAAGATTAAAATATAAAATGTCAACATAATAATGTAAAAGTATATAACATGAAATTTAAATTTTGTTCAATAAATTTAACATAAGAAAAATATATATTATTTAATATTCAAATATAATTAAGTGAAAAAGCAATGAAATCTTGTAGAACTTGAAGATTGAACATTTTAATATTTATATGTGTATCCATTTCAGATATCATCATCATTTGGTTTGGATGCTGTGCTTATTTGTTGGTGATAATTTCGAATTTGCGGCTTCTCATACACCCCGTAGGCTAAGCATTTCTGCAATTTTAAAACCTTTTAGTAGCTTATATATTTAAATTTCATTTTGTTGAGTTGTGATACTTTGCCTCATAAGTTACAAATGACTTCCATGTAGGTTAATCATTTCTGCAACCTTCCTAATTAGGTCATGGTCTGTGTCATGTAGTACGATATCCTAATTGAACACTAGTGGGGTGTATTGAACCAGATTGTATCAGTGCAGTGCAGTGGATGAGACACGAGGAGTGAATTAACCGAGACATCCTTCGAATAGGTCCTAAGAAATGGTTATGTTCATATATCCAAACTATAAGGTTGAAATGTACGCATTTGGGTCGTTAGATTCGTCTCAAATTTAACCAGGTACTTTGCCCAAACACAATACCTACCCGTTTTAACCTATGTTATGTGAAACGTGGATTATTCTAGTATATGGAATGGGAACAAGAACGTGATACACCATATAATTTAAAATACGGTACAATTAGGGTAAACTAGTATATATTACACTTAAGAATTTAAGATATTTCTAGAATAATATTCTTTTAACTATCAAGCATCTAATAAAATATTTTTTTTTTCCTTTTCATTTTGAATGCTTTTGCCTTCTCAAAACTTAACTCATCTTAGATTTTAATTCATTAAATTTGATTTTTTTTTTCTCTTAAAGTAATATTTAAGGAAATATATTAGAAAAAAATTATGGGAATGCCGTAGATTACTAAATTTATTGTTTTGAAACAAAAATATATCATGCTTCAGAATGTGTGTAATTAACATAGATTTTAACAGGTAGGTAAATATTGAGTTTTGTGCAGCCCAAAATTGAATCGGAGACTCAAAGCTTTGCCCCTAAGCATACCCTTGTACTATGGTCTAGTCTAAGTCTAACCAAGGTTTCTGATTTGGATTTGTGCATTATGTTGCTATATATTTGATGGGTCCCAATTTCTTGTAATGGAAAATGTCCTGGTATTAGTAAATATTGTGGCCTATATTACCAATGGATATGTAAAATGCTGGTGAAACCGAAATTGTGCATTGCTTTTGTGGTAGAGGCCCATTCAAGAGTACCGACTTGCAGTAATAATTTCATTTTACTAATTGATGTTACAATCCACGCGGTTAGCTCATTGGTTGTGCATTTATGGTGGTTAGTAATAATGCAATAACTTGCACGGGTGGAATGACGTTGACATCTAAGGTTAGACTATCACTAGCAACGAAGGACCAGTGTTATTAAAAGAACGTTTAGGCGCGATTAAAGTACGTAATTGGAACAAGGTGCAATTAAGCTCAAGACGCATGTTTTTTTTTTTTTTTTTTTTTTTTTTTTTTTTTATTTTTTTTATTTTTTATTATTATTATTATATTCGAATTGGACCACTAAAATTACATGGGTCGGTTACAATAGATCATATCTTTCAAATATATATGCTAATATTGTCAATTTAGCCCCAAATCAACAAACGACAAAAGAAAAAACAAGTCCTAATCCAACCCAAGAGTTTCGAATGTGCAGGTATTTTCTTCTTCTCTTTGTTTCTTCGTCTCTTCTTCCCCTTCTCTTCGTCTCTTCTCTTCTCTTCGTTAGTCTTATTCTTCTTCTTCTCCATGCTGCCTTCTTCTTATTTTTCGTTTATTTTCTAGAATGCTCTATTTTTCCTATAGAATTAGGTTGAGCTGAGATTTTTAGGGTTTTAAATACACCCATGTTGTCTTCTTCTTTTTCTTCTTCTTCTCTGCTTTTCTTTTGCTTTTATTTTTTGCTTTTCTTATTCTTCTTTTTATTTTATTTTATTTTCTTCCCTGCTTTTCTTCTCTGGATTGCTCTGTTTATTAAATATTTATTCTAAATTGCTCTCTTTTTTTCCCCTCTATTTTTATGATTTAGTTGACCTTTAGATCATGAATATTCGTGTTTTATATTGAACTTTAGAATATTACTCATTTGTCTATGTTAAAATAGCGATATTTGCTAGTATTTATTTTTTTAAATGTTCAATGTTTTATTTTGTTTATGTTATACTAATTAGTTATTTACTTATATGCCTCATAAATTATATTATTTTAACCTGTCATGGTGTGCCTTACTTCGACGAAGTCCGCACATCGCCTTGCGCCTTGTGCCTAAGGCCTTGGCATCTTAGTGTGCTTATCACTTTTAATAACACTGCAAAGGACCGAACCAGTTTTTTGTTCAACTAAAAGAATTAATGAGTTTTGTTGGACTGAACTGGACTTCTCTGCAGAGAAGTTGAATACTAAGAAAATGAAACGCTGTAATGCAATTGACTAGTTGTGTAGGTAACACCATATGTGACCTCGAGGTTTACTATTTGGCTTTCTAGTAGATGAATACAACCTAGGATTTGTAACCACAACTTTTTTACAAGGAAAAATTAAATTTAAAAAAAAAAAAAAAACCTTATAAATAATGTAGGCCACAAACGATGCAACCATCAATGTAGTTGGTCGACTAGTGTTGAGGTGAGTCTTGAGATGTAACTATTAATAGAATAGTTCAATTCAAATATCTAATCCCATGATTAAACAAATATAGGATACAAATTCAATTTAACCGGAACAATATATCCCAAGACTAATAGTCCGGTGGATTACAATTCCCTTTTATTCAGTCCGTCCAAAAAGACACCCTAAAATCTTTACAGGTTGTGAGAGGCGGCCATCATCATAACATTTTTGAATGATTTTTATAAGCAATCATTTTTGTTTTATTTGTATTTCTTTTAAATAATGTATTGTTAATGTTAGACAAAAGAAAACACCTAAATTGATATGGAATATGATAGTGAAAAAAATGTCAATTTATCTCTATACTATAGAGTTAAATAATGTATTGTTCCTCTTGCTACTAGGCTCCATTTTCAAGTTATCCCTATATAGTTGTAGTAGGTTTCATTATGATCCCTAGTCTCTTAGAAGTTAGATTTGTTGATTGGGATTTTATTTTATTTATTTGTTTTTATTTTTTGTCAGCCATTTCAGTTTCAACCTTCTGAACCAATTGCCCTTTATCATCTGATGAGGCATTGTATATGTCATACATGTGTATTTTAATGCATGAAAGGTGTGGTCTGATGTACTAATTGTAACGTCATGAAATATATATTATAAACCATCCACAACATCAATTATATAATAACACGTGATAAATAATTATCTTTCCTTTATCTCAATAGCTTGTACAAAAAGTGACATATGCAGATATAAATTTATAAGTCTAATCATGAATCTATAGCATATGTACAACAAGAGATAAGATGTGAAAGTAAAATAGATAAATAAATATCCTAAAGGCTTATAACTTTCTGAGATAGTTCTTGGTTACAACAAAAGTGGACTTAAGTCCAATATAGTTTAAGTTCTTGACTTGTACCAAATAAATACAATAAATACACAAAAAGAAGCTGTCGTTCTAAGTCTTCCCAAGCTATTGCCTTGGCAGAGACATATCATCAGCACCTGAAATGTTTTTCCCAAGTAGGATGAGCCAAAGCCTAGTAGAAATAATCCAACACAGTATATGAATCTAACAAAGCTATAAGGTGGATACATATGCAATGCTCGTGACAAAACATTTTTATATACATCTTTCCAAAACTATGCAATGCCAAGTTAATGTCTCGATTCATAAAACCATTTCTATTACAATAGAAAATAGGGCAGTGAATCACACTCTGAGAATTTCAAAACAATTTAATCTTTCTCGGAAATTTCGTCCGGAGAAAACCGTAAGTCGACATCTATGTAAACGTAAGCTATACAAGCACTACTATTGGCATTTCACGAAAATTTCATCCGCGGGATCGACACCCATGTATACGTGTGGTTTTCGAGACTTTCATCCTAGACACTCAGGCCAACTTATTTCAACAATGCAATTCATGTTTCCCAGATTCACCATTTTTCTCAAAACAATAAACATTTTCAATGTATAAATATGAGATAATGCTCAATGCAAAAATAGTTTCAATTCTCCTAATTCACATGTAACTTCTATAACACTTAGGCCTCGTTTGGGAACAGGCTAATTTAGTAACTTTTTGGCTACTTGGCTAAAATATGAGCTAAAAAAAACTAGTATGTTTGGGATGACTTTTTGACTTTTTATGAAAAGATGTGCAAAAGTTAGAGAGAAAAGAGAATCTTTGACTTTTTGGTATAGATTGTTGGCTTTTTGGCTAATTTAGTAACTTTTTGACTTTTTGGCTAAAAAAGAGGGTTCCCAAATGAGGCCTTATAGCTATCATCCACCGATAACCCTAACAGATATTTCTAAACAGATAATTTATATCCCATCAAGATACACTTTCCAAATGTCAAGAGGTGAGTGATAATACATATCTAACTCCACCATCCATATCAATATCCATCCGATTTCACATTTCTAACATCAATTCCATTTATTTATACAAAATAAA